ATAACTAGTTGAAGTATTTATTTATGGATTCATTCAATACATTAACTGAAAGTACCCGTAATTCTATAAAATAACTAGTTATTCTATAGAATTACGGAATTTCATACATTAACGCTAACATATATATATATATATATATATAACATTATATATTAGTGATTACACTAACAAACTACTACAAAGATTCACAGCCATATTTAGTAAATAGGATACTTATCAGTTATCACACACAATTCTCAACTATAGATTTATTTTTAATTTTTTTTTAATAATATCATTTGAGCAATATATTATATGTACATAATAATAAGCTTATCAATATTTCTTTTATAGGTTTTTCACAAAATTTGGATGWTTATAATATTAAATTAAATATAAATATTTACGTTAGTAATTTATTTAGTTTTTGCATTTTCTGCATCTAATTCAATTACATAATCATCATTGTCGACAATCCTTATGACCATTGAGCGATATGTTCTATAATATTTGTTTTTAAGTTTATGACATTCATTGTATATCTCAAAATAGATAGGTGGAATTGGTTCAACTTTAATTTTGTCTAATATTAACGATTTGCAGTACTCTGACATATTTTCGCCTAAGAAATGTGTACTGACCGGAGACATCATCGCAATCATACAATCCAACCTCGACGAACAATTTTTACGAAGAAATTCTAAATAGTACCGAACCTAAAAAAGATTAAAATACTATTAGTAATTATTAATGATAATGAATGATTATATTTGTATTACTTATCGATTTAACTAGGTATCTATAATTTTAAGAAATTAAATTACAATATATTAAAATAGTTTAAATAAAACTACTGAGTTATTTTTTTAGTTTATGTAGTYAAAAAATATAATTCTACACGAAATTTGTATAATTAATAATAGTATCAATATCCGACGTATAGTGCTCCAAAGTAGTTAAAACATGACTAGTTTATCCCTCTAAAACATGTTTTATTTATTCCAATACATTTTTTAAATATCCTCRACTATTTCAAGAAACATGAGATATTTTACAAGCTTAATGAGAATTTATATTGTCTACTATTATACTAGTTGATCTCACTTCAATAGGTGGGCAAYTATTAAATAATCGGTAWAAATATTTTTACAATAAGCAAATTATTATATGACGTGATGTTAAGTATTTCAGAACCTAAATATAATTACCTACTATACCTAACTGGAAAGTATATAAAAGTATTAATAGCAGTCGTTGTAGTATATATTATAATATTACAATATTACAACTATAAATAGGCCCTAGCAAAACTGAAAAATGTTCAATTGCGTAAATAGGGGAATACCCGAATATAAGTAATTCAAGTGAAGCAATTCAGGGCCCAAATGGCCAATGGTCATTTATGTTGGCTTATAAGATTTTTTTTTAATGGCCATCCCAGGATACTGAGTAATTTTTTTTTGGATAGGTGCTGTTAGATTTTTCATCAAGGAAGAGTTCTTATATTTATAGTACTAAATTAAAATATWTATAAACAAATATATAATACTTACTAAATACCAAATATACTAAAATTTATTAAAATATAGTTGATATTGTAAATGTACCTGTAAGTCAAATATTCGGAATATAAAAGTCATATTCAAATATCCAATGAAACCCATAGTAGGATTATACATATTGATGATATTTTTATGAAGAGGAGTGATCAATTTGTCATTCAAAACATTAATTCCACAACTAGGTTTCAAAAATGGTAATGTAATTTTGTATCCTAAAAAATTCAGACAATACTTAACTAATTTTGTATATTTTTTTTAACTTCTGTGAGTATTTTTGTAATAGACTGATTTATAATTTATATACATACGTAAAGCTTAAACATGATTATCTTTTAATAAATATTATGCTTTAGTATATTTCTATATTATAGTCATTAAATGTAGATACATAATTATATTTGTATATCATGTATTTCTTTAGAAATAATATTTTAAATGCATTTACCTGTGCAATAAATTATAGCATCCAAAGTCTGCTTAGTTTTGTCTTTAAAACAAACAGATTTCTTAGAAAAAAGCTCTACATCAGGTTTATGTATAACATTTTTTGGAAATTCTTTTTCGATTAGTTCAGGCTTATGATGACTGAAATAAACCTAAACAATATAATCACATAATAACATATAATTTTATGACGTACAACAACATAGTCTATGATTTTATAAAATATTATTTAGTTAATTTAGACTGTAGTTAATGAAAAGGACTTTTATTAACTCCATTGATAATCTATTTTACGTTTATGTAGAGTTTATAATTATAGTATTTATAATATCTTATAATAAAATCTTATACCCGGAACATAATAAATTATAATGATGTCGATGTCATTTAATGAAACCTGTATATTATCTAATAATGCTGATAATTTTTTTTTTTAGCTGTTTATTTTAAATCTAGCTCAACAATTACAATACATTAGATTTTTCGCCAAGATTCGGCATTTTGCGCGTTGGTATCGGTAGGCCTTCTATAACCCCGGGCCTATACCTATGAATCATTTGTTTAAAAATAACCTTTCTAAACAATTTTTTATTTTTAAATTCTAACGAAAAATAAACCTAGGCTACATCTAAGTATTTAATTAAAGAATAGGCTTACCCGTTAAAAATATCCAGTTACAAGTTTACAATCATTTGTAATTATTTCACTAATACTCAGGAAATCAGACTGATTCTATCCCTAATAGATATGAAAATAATATGAATACTACAGGTGCGTAAATKTATGGAATACATTTTTACTATAACATTTAATCTTAAAATTCACCATTTAATTTTTGCAATTATTTATGCATTGTACTTGGAATTAGTTTGATTTATTTTTATATTTAATTTAATTGCATAATTTATTCTTTAAAAGTTTTTTGCATTTACCTGATTTGCCACTTTCGATACATCCGAGCAAATATCAACGCCAGAAGCACCACTACCAATTATGAGAACATTCAAATTTGTAAAATGTTCAGGTATCCTATAATCATGACTGTGTATTTGTATGCCATCAAAATCATTATTCCCAGGAATATCTGGGGTAAGAGGCAAAGCGTTATGTCCATTACACACCATTACTGCGTCATAGTATTCAGTCTTTGATGTTTTTGATATCAAGTCTTCAACTGTCACCTGCCAGTTCTTCGTTAATTTTTCAACTGAAGTTACCAAACTACAAAACTACCATAAATAATGAATATCACGATGTAAGCCATTTTTAATGAAATATTACGCTACAAAATAAATGTACTAATGCATAATAAAAGTTCAACACAGGTAATTATAAAGTAATTTAACATAATTAAAATACCTATATAGCCTCTTGGCAAGCAGTTTTATGTACTTCTGAATTTAAGTATTCTATCCTACTAGCATATCCTCACACCCAATTTTATTGAACACAAATAGACAAATAACACATAAATTCTAATGTTTTAATATATAATCACTAACAGCCAACAGGTTTATTTCATTTTTTGTATAGGTGCTTCTAATTTATAAGTTATAATTTTTACTATAGGTATGTAAAGAACTATAGGAATAAAAGCGTATCAGTTAGACTTAAATACATTTATTATAGTAGGTATACTGAAAAGCGTATATAAATCCTTACTTGAATGTGCTTATTAAGTCCAAAATGTTCAGTAAATTTTTCAATATATTCTTGCACTTGCCAAGATTTCAAAAATGATACATTGTCTAAGCCAGTATAAGGAAAGTTTGGAAAATCCATTAATTCTTTTGGTAAATTCGTCCTGAAAGTTGTATAAGTATATCAAAGTTATTAAATTAAATTTATGTACTCATACAATATACATGAAACAAAACAACAACAAAAATAAGAAATACATACATTAGATTTTTATACATGCTTGTGTGGATTGGCAAACCAAATTCATCGAGTCCAGTTCGTTCATCATACACCCAAGTTCCACCCACTCCTTTCG